AATAAATGGTGAGAGCTCATCTTTTTGTTGCAACTCCATCACATAAAAAATGTATCTAAATGATGTGCTTTTGTATGTTTTCCATCATCTTCAGACAGATGATTAAGGAAAAAGTATACACACAGTTATAATAAAACTAATAAGAGCTCGTCGTTTTGCAGCCACTCAATATGTTTGACTAAAATAAATAAATAAATATAAATGATGCACTTTTGTACGTTTTCCATCATCTTATCAGGTAGATCAGGAAAAGGTACACACACAATGATAATAAAAATAATAAATGGTGAGAGGTCATCATCACATGATGTTTGACAAAAAAAAAAGAGAGAAAAAAGAAATATATTCGTGAGCAAATGTAACCAGAAAAATAAAAATCCTAAAAAAAAAAAGAAGGTGGAACGGAGGGAAATAAAGCTTCTGGGATGCATGGAGTTACAAAAGTGAAACTTAACAATATAAAAAGAAATTCCTTTAAAGAAAGGAACTTAAAAAAAGACCTCTGTAGCTAACAGCATTATCTGTTTGGTGTTACAGCGCGGTTGCATCATGCCTCTCAGAACAAAACTCGGCACTCATCTTTGCTGACAATGAACACTGAAGTTGGCAGAAATTTGCTGTGAAACGAGACAAAAAAGTGTGCAGTTTATAAAAAAAAAAAAACGAAGTGAGGCAACCTCCGGGCCTCGGGCTTTTGTCAGTGGGCATTTCTGTTCAGTGACCTATCAGGCGCCGACTCGACGGGCTGATTATTCAGACTGGAAGTGAAAAGATGGCTTTAATCTTTTTTTTTCTTCTTTATCATCATTCCTAATTAAAAGGTGGAAGTGTTTATCGGTCCGATTGTTTCTGAACACGGTGCCACTCTTTAACAAAGAGGCCAACACCCTTCATGTCATGACCGCTTAATTATCCAGCCTGAGTGGAGATCAGAGGGGATTAACTGACACCCGGCTCACAGTGGGTTCAGTCTGAGGGGAGGAGGGGGGTATTGATCAGCCACTCTCTCTTTTTTTACTGCCCTCTCTAAACTGGGTCATTTTTTTTTGCGAGAAATTGGTTGACTTAAAAAATAATGTTTGCCAAGGATTTGCAGTAATTATCTCATCCCTGTATAGAATGGGGGGGGCCCCAGCATGAGGCCGTGGTGAATTACACATCTCCTCTCCTCTAACTCGTCGATGCGTTATGGCCGTGCATTATGCATAACTGTGCCGGAGCGCCTTAAACATCCCCCAAGTGGATTGGAATAAAGTTGACGCTGCTCTTTGTTTGGAGCTCTTTATTTGGCTGTGCTGAATCGGAGATCGCTGTACCAAATAAAGACGGGAAGGGAGGGGGGTTCGTCTTAATTATTTTAGACTTTTTTTTCTGTTTTTATCCCCCTTAAGGTTTGCGAACACCTCAAGTGTTTTTTTTTTTTTTTAAAGAGGGATTCCGGATCCAGATGTGAGGATGCTGGGGCACTCCGCTGGGAAAACGTCGCTGGCAGTAAAACTGTTTGTTGTTTTAGTTTTGTAAAAAGGAAGGGATTTTTTTTAAGAATAACGAGGAAAAGTGAAAGAAACTACAACACGGGCGACCGATGCAAGCCTGCAGACATAAAGGCCAACATAAGAAGTTTGTGATTCTCGTACAAAAAGTGAAGATAACTTCTACAGAAGTTGTAAAAACAGATTAAAGCTTTAACAAACAGATGAAACAGCAGAATAAAGTGTTTGACTCGGTTTGATCTGTGCTGCCGATGTTCCCTCAAACCCAATGAAGTGAAGAAACAAGACAACAAACAGGTCCGCGTCTGTTTTAGGTGTAAGGGAGTTGTAAACGTGCTTACACCAGTTTTTTTTCTTCTTGTTTCTTCCAGCCCATCAAATGCTCCTCCTCTGCCCAGGAGTGAACGGTATGAGAAAAGAGGGTGATCCTGTGGTCTGGGCCCACCACAAACAGGCCTTCCAAGGTGAGTCACTGACAGTAAACGTGCCCACATCTCCCCGAGACGAATCTCAAAACTTCTCTGATCAAAACCAGAGACTCTTTCTCTGAAAACATAACTGAACACTTTTTTATTTTCCAGATGTTCTTGATCTGCTGCTGGGTGATGCTTTCTGCAGCACCATGCTGTTATAAAATAATAAAAAAATAAAATAAAATTATTATTCTTGCACAACTCGAGAGAAATGATGCAACATGGAGTGCACATGCTTTAAATTAAAACGATAGAGAAGAAGACAGGAATGCATTTGATTAGTTTGTCTGGCATGGCTGAGCCAATTAAAAAATGTATTTAAAAGCAAAAACTACAGCAGCACATCAGGTATTCAGCACTAAAAAACACCTGGACATTACACTTTACATGTTACAACTATAACTTATAATCAGGAGCAGAAACCTCACGCTTTGCAACAAGTAAGAKGTGTTTTTTTAAAGCACCACAAATCACGGCTGCGAAATAAGAAGAAAACAGTTCCCAACTCAGCCAGGAGTCCAGTCTAACCGTGCAGAGGACAATCCAGWCCAAACGCTCCACCGACGGGCGCGTAATAAATCTAATAAAAACAATAAATGTAGCACAGCTCTAACTCTGTGCCAACAAAGCGCTCTCCGCCTGTCTGTGAACTTAGCATGGCTGCAGGGTTAGCTACATGCTAACTAGAAGAAAAACAAAAACCTCGGAGCCCCGCACCTAACTCACAGCTCCGTCTCACTGCAGCTCGTGGACTGTCTCTGTGATTGTGTGTGTCTGTGTGTGTGTGTGTGTGTGTGTGCGTGTGTGTGTGTTGGGATGTGACAGAAGCAGCGACACGATGCGCCGCATCAGGTCACGGAATATAAATGAGTTCTGAGAACTCCGGGGGCCGGCTTTCAGAGAGCCGGGTGACGTCACAGGCTCCGACGTCCTCCGATTCTGGACCGTACCAAGAGCGGAGGGGGGGATCCGATCCACCCGGAGTCCTTCAGAGCGTTATTTCACGCAGATTTACTCATTTTAGCACTCGTTTAAACGCGGGAATCTGTTATAAGTGCTACGAAAATCAGCGGGCGTCATTTGAGCCAGAAAGGCCRCTTCAAAACGCGTTTTTGTCGGGAAGCCCGGAGCCGAGCGCCTCTCCCCGGTGCCGGCGGAGTGGTACGGTCCCAGGCTCAAATTCCGAGAATTGTGCTGGTCTGATTCTTAGAACAGGGCTTCTTAGAAGTGGTGATGCAAGAAGTTTCTAGGAAAGCGCTACCAGGTGATATTTTTTTATATTATTATATTTTAATTTCAATTTGGCGCSAAGTGTTTTTAACCTACTGTGTTGTTTGTTGATGGGTTTTTATTTTTCGGATAAATGTTATTTTATGTTTCTGTGTGCTGGGGGAAAGTGTTTTGTGAGTGAGGAGGAGGGAGGCGGGTGACAGCCCGGAGCTCTCTGACGGCGCCGCGCGGCTCCGGGTCGGAGCGCAGCAGACAGCCGCCTCCTTCCCCGCTGCAGCCKCTCGCTCCGACGCTCGGGTCATGTCGTGTCGGCTTCGACAACCTCCGGAGCTTCACGAGTCTGTGGCTGAACGTGGCTCAGCTGTCAGCGCTCTGCTGGCGGACGAACTTTGTTCTCCGGCTCGCAGCGGTTTTAATATTTATTTTTATTTTTGTTTACTCCGCTGCTCTAATGGAGCGTCCTGTTACCGTAACACTGACAGCAGCGGAAACACGGGCTACTGTGTGTGTGTGCGCGCGCGTGTGTGTGTGCGTGCGTGTTCCGCGGAAGTGAGTTGTCTCTCTTTTCATTTTTTTATCCCCCCTCCTCTCACTGTAGCTGTCAGACAAAGTTGGCACAACCAGGCGAAGTTTGCTGGTTAAACTGGGTTTAAAAATGGGCGGAAGTGCGGGAGACTTTCACTTTAAAAGTCCGGTTTAAATAGTTGCTGTAAGCTGGTTGTTTTTAAGTCCTGCTTCTATTTACGGACGGCTCCTGTTACAGACAGTTAAAGATACTGTCATAAATCCTCCTGTGTGTGTGTGCGCGCGCGCGTGTGTGTGTGTGTGTGTGTGTGTGTGGCCACAGTTAACTCTGTTTTACTCTTCATAAAGTAACTGACCCAGAAAAGCAGCATACTGAGCTTCTCTTTAATCACTTTCTAAATAAAACTACCTGCTCCAAAAGGCTTATTTATTGTTTTATTATCCCTCTGGTTAAAATTAAAATTAGGATGTTATCTGTGTTTTCAAAAATAATAATAATAGAAAAAAGGAAAGCGTGTGTAGAAA